CATAGAAAGCGATCACGAGACCGATCCTACTTGGTTGAATTTCTGTCCCAGTTCCATCTGCTGAGTAGCTATGATTTAAAGCCTTTTGGGAACCTAAATTCGTTGCATTTACAAAGCCGTTGGACATCGTAAATTATCTCTCATATCTCTCAAGGTCTTATAACTCAGAAAAAGTATCGTCACGAGAATCAGGAATTCTCAGGTTACATCAAAATCCCGTTTAGATCTGTATGAGAACATTGCGGATTTCAGGTGTCATTTTATAGTTAAGAATGATGTCTTTTCCCTGTGGTCCAAATGTAGAGATACCTTCCGCTTCTGTTACGACATTCCTGTTGTGCACCTTAAAATATATGCAATAACTCCCTAAGACTTCGTTGTTTGAAATCAACCAAATTACATTCATTACGGCAAAAAGAGAATTAATTATTTACTACATTTACATGACAATCATATTTGTAGACAGGAAATTCATCAGCGCGATTTGCATTTGAATTAACAAACACCTGTTACTTTTGACAACTATTTCTCTACAGTTAACAATCTTTAACATTAGAGCTTTACCTCTTTTCATGTTGTCACCCATTTATCATAATAAGCATTCTCACGTAACACGAGTGCAAAGTTGAAACATGAGTACAAATTACAAATAACGCGCGTACGCTTTCAAATTTTCGTCTGTCTTGACTCTCTCTGACTTTCTTTCACGTAACTTATTGACGAGTAATAACATCGTGCTCACTAACACCAAATTGCCCTCGAATTCATGTTGTTACCTCTACGAATCCTGCACTACGCATAAAAATCGCGTGATTAGGCGAATAAGCGCACGCATCCCCAGAACACAGTTTAGTTTTCAATCAATGGACCAGGTAAAGAGGTACAGTGATCTTTAGCTCTTGAACGTGCACAGTGACCTATACTTTTACTGCATAATTTTGGTGTTCAAATTATCCCTTTTAGATTGGAGGGAAAAAAAAAGCATTGAAGGGGAAAAATAGATATAGCTAAAAACTTTCCCGTATCTTAAAAGCAAAGACGAAAGGACGTGCGTGATTAGTGCGTGATTAGTGCCAATACAGACATAAATGGAGCACGTTTGGCCCATCAAATGTCTTAAACAAGCATTTTTTAGACTTTATTTTTTGAAACAGACATTGGTCGGGAACATTAAAAGAAAGTTTAAAAAAATAGCTCGATAACTTTTTTGAGTGAGGAATAACCTTAAAAGAAATTATGCGCACCCGTTGAGTTGATTTGGTATTATCCAAACACCAAACCTCACAATTGGTGTATATCATAAATTCGGATTTTACCTTTAAAGCTCTGAACCCATCCATTATGTTTTCTTGTGCAGCCAAAGTACTATGCCGTTCAAGAGGATTTTGCTAGCTTTGGCGATGGAAATCGTAATTTTAACCTTCTCGAATAAAAACTGTTGGCTATAATAAGTCCCAGAACGGAAACAAAATTTTATCTACGAACGTAAGGATAATCTGGAGTAATAATTTCTGCTAAGGATCAGCAGTCATTACTTTAGCTGATGCAGATGATAGCCTTTTCCTGCCATTCTCGATGATGTAAGAGGCAAATAGCTATCCCACCTACCCTACCCTCGCATAAAACACATAAAAAGTCGTAAAACATAAGTCACGTGAAAGAATAACAAAAGTAGAACAATGAAAAGAAACAATGAGGTGTTGAACAAGTTACCATTATATATTTTATTTCCAGTAAGCGGATTTCCACAATAACAGCTCAGATTAAAAATAAAACTGAAAGAAGGCATGACATGGCATAATCACTTCTGACATAAATTGTCTTAATTTCTTAATTGATCTAACACTAGGTCACCAGTTTGTTCAGACTGCGTATGGGATACTTTGCTGAATGTCACATCAACTTCTAGCGGGATGGAAAAGAAAACCTTATGCCATAAAAACGCTGAAAAATAACTACAATGTCTCTAATTTGAGACTTTCATTCGTATAAGTTTGTAGCTGAGATGACATTCTCTTTGTAACATTTGACAGCTAAATAACCTTAAGTTAAAACATGTTTACAACTGTCTTTAAAAATTGACTTTGTCTCAATTTGTTAACAGGTGTAGAGTGAACATTCACAGCTAAATTAGAAATGAAATTATTCAGTTCTTGCAAAATAAGTGTTTTATCATTTTTCGAATTTCTCTGTTTCTTATCCCGAACGTCATTGGATTAATGACGAGATCGAGAAACATCATGTAAACGCCGAACATGTGTACTTCGCGAGACATGGGAACGCCACGTGATACGAGAATACTAAGGGTGACATTTGGGACCCAGCTCAAACAGAAAAGGAACACTATCACCGATACGGTACGGGCGATGTGGATATCCTCTCCTCTGAGCTCGGTTACATGCGGTTCTGTTGTGGCTCTGGAGGGCCCTGGACGTGGCACCTGCTTTGGGTCCTCATCTTGGGACCTGTTGTTTGGTACCGCGATTCTTCTTCTATGGCGACGAACAACTTGCGCGATTTTGATGTAGCAGCCAATGATGACAAGGATGCAACAAGAAATCACCGAATAGCTGGTGATACGAAAGGAGATGTAAGCCTTTTCTGAGATCGAGCAAACTGCCTTGGAGGGAATAAACTGATATTTCCCCCATCCTAAAAAGGGTCCGCTGCTCAACAAAATCGCTAAACACCAGATCAACACAGTCATAAAGATGACAGACTTCTTGAAAAACACACTTCTATACTTGCTAGGTTTGACTATCTTGAAATACCGATTCACGCTGATCGCAGTGAGGTTGAAAAGACTAACGGCAAACAAAGCAACGCCGAGGAAAGCGTGAAAATTACAGAGCTTCTCTCCAAAACTCCATTCTCCTCTGATGATGGTGATGATCAGCATCGGAAGCTGGCACAGTGCCAGCAACAAGTTCGATACGGCAAGGTTTACGAAAATCGCATTGGGAATGGTACGGAGGTTTGTCTTTTTGTACACCGCACAGCAGACGATGATGTTTCCTGAAACAGCGCATATGAAAAGCAGAGCGACCAAAGAGACCTCGATAAAGGTTTGTGTTTGAGTTCGGACGGGTAACAAAAAAGATGATGTTGTCATTACAACAATTTTGCAAAACTTCCTTGAGTCAAAATTTGTTGTGATTCTCGAAGCTTTTAAGGCGCAGGTGTTTTACCTGTGAAAGCTTAATGTTTTCGTAGATGCTATTTCTGTAACATAATGAGACCATAGGTAGACTGGGGTTAGATAAAATCATGACATGACTGTCGTTTCTTTATGAGAAGAAATGAAAATTTTCGTGTTGCCCTCGCAATCGTATTCAAGGCATAAAAGCAAACATGGTCACCAACACAAAACCCAGTAATCGTATAATAAAGCAACTGGAGGAACGTACAACTTCTTGCATTTTTTTGCCACACATCCTGTTGCGACGTTTTCTGCATTTATGTAATAAATAAATAAAGGACTTTGTTTCCTTTTTTATTGTTCAATTTCAGGCGCGCGCTCATTGGTTGAAATTGAATTCAAATGATTTAATTTTTAATGACGTAATATGTTTTATTGCGCGCCCGAAAAAAGGTGGATTTGGGATTTTTAGAGTCTAACTGGACTTGTGATGTTCCTTCGGAATTTAAAGGAGTTTTCTAATCGATTTCACGGATTTTGAGGGCTGTCGAGAAAACTGTGAGAACACATCCCGGCATATTCTTTAATTCTGAAACAGAAACACGACGAGAACTTTTCATAACGACGAAAACAACGTTGACTATTCTAAACGACTACATCAATTAGCTTTTGGAAAACACCGGGACCACGATTCCTAGCGTTTTATCTCTTAGCGAAAAACAAACAGAACAAATGACAAAACTAAACGCAAAAAACAGATATCCAAAAGAAAAAACACATATACACGTAAAAGCACGCAAACGAAGAAACGAAAGCAGAATCAAAATTTAGGCAGTATATGACTGCATGTGGCTACTGATGCAAGACAATGTTTATAGTGTTGGAAAGATCCAGAGGTTGTATAATGACGCTAGAGGGTAGTGTTGTTTACATGCAAAACAGGAAACCTGCTACATCCCACATATTAATAAGTACCTTGTTCCACAAGAGAAACTGAGATGACTCAAGAATGATCAGAAGAGAGTGGATAATTGACACTCCACCAAAAATTAGATGGTCACAAATAATCATACGAACAATGATAATAACAATGATAACAATAGTTAACAATTGGTTCATACGTCAGCTGTGCGTTCATCGAGACATGAAGCACGCATCTTTAGAGTTGCTCGAGGCTACACCTCGAGCAACTCTTACTGTGCTTACTTTCGTCTCTCCAAACTTCCCGCGTGCTTCATATCTCGATGAACGCACACCTGACGTATGAACCAATTGTTTTATAACATTTTCGACCCGCTGGAAATTTTTTTTCTCGAGGGATTTGTTTGCTGACATCATGGGCGTGCACAATAGGAATATGAAGCACGTTCTCGCAATTGAATTCGATTACACAAATTTACTAGCTATGTTATAATAATAGTTGACTGTGAATATATGAAAATCATATCAAAAGTCACACATGTAAACTGCGGACAGCAAGGTGAATATGGAAGCGATCTTATATCCGCAGAGCGAGTCAAAATACGGCACAACTCGTGAAAATACTTGGCGATACTACACACCAAAACGTCTAATAAGTTATTTATTAAGCAAGTACTGCTGTAGGTTTTATGCTCTTCTTCTAAGGCGGGAAAAGCAAAGCAAACAGAGAAGCGGTTTGCGACAGGTCTTGCGTGATGCTCGCGTCGGATTGGCTCATTAAACGTCAACTTGTCACATAATGTTTCAAAACGATTCAAAGTTAAATTTTATTTTCGATCTTTGTTCTCAAATCGTACACATTTGAAAGTGCTGCAAGTACAAATGTGTTCGTTTATCAACGAAAAGCGATGAATAATTTATCGCTAGTAACAAAGCCTTGAATCTACCGGAAGACGAATTCTCAAAGACATGGACGAGCTCTTAGCATATGAAAAAGAATTTCATTTTCATGATCTGACTCAAACACATGGCGACGACGCCTCGCGGGAATCGCTGTCGGTACTTGACGAGCTGAGGGCTGTGAACTCAGAACAATGGTACAAATGTTAAATTCGGCACCAGAGAAGGCAAATGTAGCCAACCTCTCAAACAGGTTTTTCGACAATACAAAATAACCTTACGCAATATTGCGGAATATTTTTACTCCATTCGAGTGTTATTTACACTTTATTTAGTGCAGTTGGATAATAATGAACTCTACTTAAGAAGTAGTGAAAATAAGGCCTGAAAAAAATTAAGGCCTGTACGTGATTTGAACCCATGATCTCCGCGATACCGATGCAGCGCTTTACCAACTGAGCTAACAAGCCTACAGGGAAAATTACTTAAGCAGTAGTGAAAATAAGCAGCCTGTGAGGTTTCGGCAAGGGAAAATTAAGGGACAGTAATAAAACAAGAAACGCCAAATTTCAAGTGAATCAGTTATGTATTTGTGTGGACAATCTTTTAGCTGAAAAATTGGATTGCGCTACTCATAAGATCGCGTGACTCAAGTCTTAATGTCGCGTGACCACTGTTTCACGTTACAGTCGTGTGTCTTCAAAACTACAAGCCAAGTTTTTTTCACCAGCAATTGGCTTCAGTTTCGTCGACTGGCCGCTAATTCTCCTAGGCAACCCATCCATAGGAAACTGTTGATTAGGTGATCTCGCTTCTAAATCTTTAAATTTTTTCTTCCTTATCGCCCTGGTGTAAAATGCTATCAGACTTCGCAGGCGTTCCGGCGGTGGCTTACAAGTGATCAAGGATTTGAATTCATCCCGAATATCCGTGTTGTACGCGCTGTAAATGACTGGGTTTACAGTTCCGTTACAAAGCATAAGGAATGCTGAGATGTTGCTGTAGTACGGGGTGAGCTTGTCATAAAAGCCGAAGTGAAGAGATAACTGTAAAATCCAAAATGGTATGAATGAAACGTAGAAGACAAATACCAACATTACCAACATTTTGAGAGCCTTAGCTCTTTTCACCCTTCCTTTTCGCTGTACCTGGTGGAAGTGAAATCCAGGTGATTTAAGGAGCCAAAGTTTGATACCGATGGCTGAATACAACGCTAGAGTGATCACAAATCCCGCCGCCAACAACACTGTTTGAAATGTAAACCATTGTACGACCTCTTCGTTCTTTATGCCGACGAAACATATTACGTCACCGATGCCGTGTGCTTTGAGATGCGCAAAAGAAAACAGCGGACTGCTATAACACCCGCTTACAAACCACGTGGCGGCAATAATAAAATACGCCCTTTTCTTCGACAGTAGCGCCTTCAAAGGGAAGAATATCCCCAGAAACATCTCCACAGCGATGGCTGAAATTGTCAGATTCGACGTAAGAATTAAAACTGCGGACAAAAACACGTCAAATCGGCAGAGAAACTCTCCGAATCGACCGCGAATATGCCACGCTCCTCCCAAGAGCAGATGAACACAGATCATAGGTGTCATCTCTAAAGCAAAAAGGAGATCGGCCACAGAAAGGTTTATGATAAATAGGAAATGTACTGGTCGTCGTAAGTTCTTTCCGATTCTTCTGATGGCTTTGATTACCACTGTATTACCCACCAGTGAGAGCACTATCATTACATAGAAAGCGATCACGAGACCGATCCGACTTGGTTGAATTTCTGTCCCAGTTCCATCTGCTGAGTAGCTATGATTTAAAGCCTTTTGGGAACTTAAATTCGTCGCATTTACAAAGCCGTTGGACATCGTAAATTATCTGTCATTTCTCTCACGGTCTTATAACTCACAAAGTCTCATCACGAGATCATCGGATACAATAAATCACATAATGGGTAAAACAATAGAGTGGCGCATTCAGTGAAGTGCATTCTTATTATTTCTTTTGGATTATCATATCATAATCAGGAATTCTCAGGTTACATCAAAATTCTGTATAGATCTGTATGAGAAAATTGCGGATTTCGGGTGTCATATTATAGTTCAGACTGATATCTTTTCCTTGTGGTCCAAATGTAGAGATAACTTCCACTTCTGTCGCGACATTCCTGTTGTGCACTCTAAAAATTGTTGCAATAACTCCCTCAGACTTCATTGTTTGAAATCAACCAAAGCACATTCATTAAGGCAAAAAAACGAATAATTGTTTGCTACATTTACATGACAATCATATTTGTAGACAGGAAATTCATCAGCGCGATTTGCATTTGAATTAACAATCACCTGCTACTTTTGACAACAATTTCTCTACAGTTAACATTCTTTAACATTAGTGCTTTACATCTTTTCTTGTTGTCACCATTTATCATAATTAGCATTTTTTGTACTTACTATATAATTGAAATAAAAGAAAAGTATGTGTTAATCGTGTATTAGAAATTCTGGTTTGTAACCAGGTAAGTAAGTTAGAAAGTGAGAATGAAAGCATCAGAGGCTTGAGGGGTTTTGTGTTACTAGCTAACACCTTGGTAACCTACTGGTAAACGTGGATAGATTATTTAAAAAATAATTATTCTCAAAAGTAAATACATGGCAATAAAAGATTTACTATTATTTTATACTTCAAAATAATTTAAAATTGAAAATCGGACATCTTCGCTACTGAATGTGCGGATAAGCTGGTAGATCTGACTGCTCTATTATTAAATGTGGGATCAGATTTCAACTTTCTATAAAATTGCTTAAAACTCCAAATAAAATAATCTGGGAGGTCGAATATACTATACATTAGACTGATTTGGAATTATTATTATCTTTTTATTCAAGTCTTCAGAATCCTTTGGAATGGTATCTAACTTGTTAGATTCATGTTTGGATATTGAAAAGGAATCACGTCTTTGTTATTGGTACTTTCGTCAAGTTGATATTCTACTGTCTCGGTTCTGTGAATTATGCAAACTTCTAAATTAATGATTGTCAATAGGCTAGACTGATTTGGATTAATCCATATACCGAGCTCTTCAGAATACAGAGGGATGTCATTTAGCTTGATTCATGATTGGATTTCGGAAATAATAATATACGGGCTTGTGCAATTTTGTCGTCTTTGAAAAAATTTTCGCGCTTATTAACACCAAATCGTTGTTACCTATACTGATACACATCTCGATTATTAGTATTTTCAACACACTGATATCCGACTGTGTCAGTCTTGTGCAATTAAGGTGATTCCAGTGTCATTGTCAGTTTGATGGTTTATATCCTGCTTATTGTCCATATTTTGGTCTCTGACGGATGTCCAGCACGTTACACTGGGTCGCCATGTAGGCGTAAGTATTAAACTATAAAATAGTTCTTCTCATATAGGGAAAAATTTTGTTTCATTAAAAAAAATGCACCTCCACGTGTGGAAAGATGATTTGCCGTCAAGCAGGTGTTATAAGTATGCAACGGTGTACTTCTTTTAGTTTCAATTAGACGGCAAAATAATTTTCACACTGTCATTCTTGTACTGGATCACATCTAGCATACAAACACTTTTTTTTCTGCGACTAACAATAATTGTTTAAATCTGCGTGTTTCAAAACATATGAGGATGAGACAGATGCAAGTTGTAGGTCAAAAGGATCATTGTGCATTGCTGCAAAAAGCGTAATTTTTTCTATTATTGCCGGCCTTGTGGCTCAAGCAAAGGTTATTACGGGTATGTAGTTCTGTGCAGGATTTGTTCAAAAAGTTCTGTTCAGTCGAATCATTTAAGCGCTATGATACAAAAGTGTAAACAGTTTAAAAAGTACGAAGGTTTTCCAGAACCTGGACATCACCATGATTATGTTGATATTTTGCGGTAAGTTTTTTGGGGAAAAATGAAGGTACAGCTTGACCTCCTTTCTCCCTGTAATGGTACAAATCATCAAAAAATTGTAGAAATATCACCGAAATTTTAAAAGTTTCTCTCAAAAGCCCAAAAGGTATCTCTCGCAACCCAAATATTACACGAACTTACTCGAGAGAGTTTTCTTGTTTAAACGCTGGAAAGATCATCACTACGGTCGTTAACTGACACAATTACTATAATTCAGAAGGTTAATCACAATTATTATAGAATCTTTATGTAAATGTTAATTATGCGAATGAGTGATTTTCTTTTAACTCTTTAACTCTCAAGATCTAATTGTCAATTCTCCCCTCTGGCTGCTACACATTTCCTTGTAAATTAGCTATAAGAACTTAGTGCTAGATCAAGATAGCAGCTTCTACGCGATAAGTTTGAATATTCTCATTACCTGTTTGCTGAAGAATGTATGGGTATAACAGGGAGAAGTTTTATGTTAATCACTTTTGGGAGTTACATGGTTAATCTTCTTTTTTTCTACTCTAATTTTTACTACTTTACATAGAAAGTACATTTAATTTTCTTTCTCTTCCATAACCGTGCATGTTGGTATGGACCTTTCGCATAAAAAACTGCGGTGGCAACGATAACGCAGCAAAATATGAGATTCGGTGAGCAGAGCGAAAGCTCTCAAACGTTCTAAAACTTTGTGTATATCTCAGCCGTTCCACAGCAGTGTGAAGTTACCAAAATTTTAGTTCAGCAAACTCTCCAATACTTATCGCTATGCCTTATTGTCCGCGTGAATTCTGTGAAGTACTGGGTGACTGGTCTTTCATGGTGACGTCAAGTCTTATATTAGGATTCAGGTTCGACCGAACATAGGGATTAAGTGAACTGCAAGCGCTCTGCCCCAAGAAGCCAGTCAATGGTAAATCATCTAGTCCCAAGACAGCTGAGGCTTACAAAAATTCTCTCAGGGGCTGAGATTCAAGAAGGCAGTTTTAGTAAATTAATAGTCATGGAAATGCAAAGCATGTTTTTTCTGGGGCATGGGACAAAGCAATAATGCCCTTCAAAAGAATCGAAGCGATTAAATTGTTGTACGTTTTGGTGAGCCACTTTTATTCCCGAGACATTTCAAGAACGATTTCTGAACGTTATATAAGTTGTAATTGGCCATTTCTCATTTGAAATACAGCAATACGATACCCAGTTGAATTTTTACAGTACGCTGATCCCCCGACCGGAATATGTTCACCACCGAATCCTGCCCTTGAGTTTAACACCCGTTGCACCTTTAAATGTTATCTTGGGTACCGTTTGAGAGGTTCCCGTGAACGACGTTGTCAAGCCGACAAAACATGGTCTGGGACCCCACCAACTTGTGAACGTAAGTAATTTGATTATCCAACTGCGCAAAGAAGAGTAAAAATAAACGCGCTCAAGGCTACTGACTGAAGGGAAACAAATTTATATTTACTAGGAGCCCTCATGATTTTGCCTTGTGAATACAATATCGAGAGTTCCTAATGGGGTAATAGCTTTTATGGCTAACGGTTAATTTCTGAGTGTTTTTATTGTATGTATTCATCAATTCTTTCCGGCATTTGCCCCCTTTGTAACTATTTATAACAGCCTGTGGCGCTCAGATCAAGAATTTTTGATTTCATTTAGGTTTTAACCATTCAGTGCATCGTACATGCCCCATTCAGCTTTGGTGTGAAATCATATAAAATTCATCATCGTTATTTATTTCCTATCGTAAATACTCTAACTTCAATGATATATTTTCAGGAATTCTCTGTCCCAAACTCCCACCAGTCCAGGCCGGTGCCAGATATTTACCGTCCGACTGTGCAACACGGCAACGAGGCACCTTTGAGACTTGTTTTATTTCCCATAGAAGACATACCTTTCGTCGTATCCTTTACTATAACATGTCAAGGAAACGGATCATGGGAGCGAAAAGTCCCAAAATGCCACGGCAAGTTTCCCGTTTATGCTTCCAACTTTTATTTTTCTGTCTTTGTTCAGGGCTTAGTGACCTGAAGAGATGACTTCCCGCCCAGAGCTCCCAGGCTCAGTTTCTCCCACCTAACCACTCACTGAAATTGTTCACGGTTTCAACGCGTTAAATATCTTGTCTACACTTAGTGAATTGCAAAATGATCTGCCTTTCTCAAGTGCAGATTTTTAAATACTTCACGTTTATTCAGATAGCTTGTTTCAAACTGTTTGTGAGCAGTATTGTTTCAGTGGTGTTCCCGTATTTCCCTCTGTCCTTCCACAATGGCGTCAAAGATAACACTGAAAGGGAGGGGGTAAGGGGATGGGCCTCGTAAGGACGGAGGGGAGGGTAAGGTGAAAGATTTACTTTGAGAAAGTATTGCGTCAAATCGTTTTTGTGGCCAGGTAAGTTGCCAAGAGCAAAGACATTTTCTGAATTGTTTTAGGTTGTTTGAATATTTGAAATGCTTTTATGAACTGATAAATTGGCTAACAGGCGGATAATATCTTCAAAATCACTAGAATGTCTGATAAGTCCCGTATTAAGAGAAATTTATGTATATGTATTACTGGTTTTGCTATTTTTACGTTTCCTTAACACAGATACTCGTCCACCAGTTTTGAATTGTCCGCCCAATCTAAAAGTAAACACTCTGAAAGGAAAGTCAACAGGAAAAGTCACGTGGAGTGTTCAGGTTTCTGATAATTCAGGTGATGTGGATCCAAATGCAGTGATTAAGACTGAGTCAAATCACAAATCAGGGCAGGAACTTCCTATTAGGGTCACTGCGATTCGCGTAACTGCTACTGATCAGGCCGGGAACGAGGCCATCTGCACTTTCGAGGCAGAAGTCATAGGTAACATACAAAAGTGTATAGGGGGAAACTTTGCCATGCGTTTCAGGCCCTATACCTAATAATGGGTTTCCATTAAAAAAGTTTTTTTTTTTGGATGCCTTTTTTCACGTCTATTATCAACTCTAAAACACCTAAAAGGTGTGTTCATGAAAACGGAGCCTTTCACAAGCGACCGAACGAGTGAAGCGTTTAAAACTTATTGTTTGTAGAAGGTTCAACTATTTGTGCGGGCTACGAGGCTACGAGGGCTCGGTAGTTGAAAAGGCGGTTAGCGCTTTTCAGAGATAAGATTTTTAAAAAAATTTTTAAACTTTCTGCTGGTTTTTCGGTTGTGAAACGTTTGTATGGAAAAGCTATTTGTTTGTGGGATTTATAATTAACATTTCGGTAGAGAAAAGAATGATAGAAACCAAATATGGAATTGTCTGAACTGAAAAATTGCTGAGGAAAATAAAAATTTTTCCGTAGGTTAGGACTGGATTATTTCTACTCCTTCCGGGTGGAATGTTTCTCCATTAAACCTCTGGTTAAAGAGAGGAGATACTCCTGAGGAAGAAAGGTTTTCTTGTTGAAGAGCAGGGCTGGGTTGTTCAAAGCTGGGTTAAGATAACCCAGAGTTAGTGTGAAATCTGATTTCAGATCTGAAAGGTTTCATAGAAAATTCAGTATAATTCTTTTTGTCAACAATTTGATGATTGGATGCTTCATATAGAATGGAGAAAATGATCCCAAAAAGGCTTTCGAACAAAGGAGTAAAGAAACCTAGAATAAAATTTAACCCTGTGTTAGCTCTAATCGGCCTTCGAACAACTGGGCCCAGAACACTATATTCTTGGGCCCGAATCGAACCCAGCTTTCGGACCAGAACTCAGACAGCGTGTCCTTAACCCTTTACTTCCTAACATCAGTATGCATATTCTCTATACCACTCCTTAGACATTCCTTAGGTTTCTGACAAGGAGAATTTGTTCAACAATCAAAAGCTTCTTTAGTTGGTAATCATCTCCTTTATTCTCATGACTTCAACGTTTGATTCAGGGGAATTATTGTAAGGAGAAATTAGATGTTGGTAACTCTTAGGGGCTCGTCACGAAGTAACGAAAAATCCTTTTCAAACCTGGGAAGATGGTTTGATGTTCCTGCTCGTACTTTCATTCCAACAAGTGGCCTTCTTATCATAACATCAATTCATTGTCGAATCTATTTTCGGTTACGAATATGATTTAGATGGATTGTCTTTAGTTTTTCTTGGGGATGAAAACTGAATGATTCAATAAACGTAATATTTATGCAAGATTATGTGGTGGTGTTTTAGTTTACGCATGGAGGACTAAGGCGCAATGGTCAGATCCTGATTCCAATGAATTCGGCAACGGAATATCGAGTCACGCATATGCTGTAGGATTTACCCCACGTCATACTCGCCTGATACTCGAGTACAGGTACCTCTTAATTTTCACTATAAAATACATTGACGTCATCTTTGAACATGGGAAATTGAGGTCGATTTATCAATTGTTGTAGAAAAGAGAATAAATTTCTGCTTTAAGGGGATTTGTTTACCTAACAGTCGTGAGTTTGTGTCATTTAAACGGTTATTATCGGGGCTATTGTCGTTCAAATTCCTTCCATAGATTCTCTTGATGAAATTGTGTTACAACAGCCCTCCCTTTCCAAAAGACTCTTGGATAAAAGGGGGTATTTTCAACTGAACCGACTTGGCAGAGGAAATGAAGTGTGTTATGTCAGGATAAAATTCCATTAATTGCTTACTTTATAAAGCAAGTCAGATGCAGTTACTTTTAAGATCAACTTATGTTATTACATGCAAACTAAAAGTTTTAAATTATCGCCTAGTGGCACTATCGTGCTCAGCGTGGAACCACTATTGTCAAGCGAAATTATTTTTGCAGAGATATAAATAAACATTTAGTGATATTTGCAAACAGGAAATTAAGGTCAAATGAGGAGAGGATTATGAGCGATTCGTTATGCCAGTTTGCATTCTGGGTACACGATTTAGGTATCGCTTTCTAGGAATCAAAGTCGATTTGGTGCGCAGATTTGTTTGCTTTAAAGTTTACAGAGATGAAGCTTAGTCAGTTAATTGCGGGCTGTGTTGTCCTATTTTTACTCTGGGAATCAGGCACAGCTGCAAGGGAAATTCATATTTCACCGTCTGGGAACGATTCGTCAGACTGCACCAGTATCGAACCATGCAAAACACTGGATCATGGCCTCTCCATCGCTTTAAAGTCCAACTCGGCACAGTTAATGCTGATTGAAGGAAATTATTCACTTAATGAGCCCTACAGTTTTGTAAATATGAATACGTTTGGTCTTCATGGAACCGGTGACGTGAAAATAACGTGTGGCAATGCAAATGTCAGTCTATCGTTCTTATTAAGCAATAATATCAGTATCGAGCGCGTCACGCTACAGAAATGTGGTGGATGGCATACGAGCACATATACTCTACACAAATATTTTCCCAAACTTCAAGGAGCCCTCTTCAAGACTGCTTTGTATTTTCGATATTGTAGAAATCTTCGAGTCTCTGATGTGGAAATCTCACACTCTCCAGGACTAGGCGCAAATTTGTACGATGTTGGAGGAGTCGTCAACGTTACCAACAGTGTGTTCGCTAATAACTCGGGCTTATATGATCACGCTATTGGCATAAAAAGTGAGTTGGTTTATTCAGGGGGCGGTATTTTCTTAATGCTGAACCCGTACATCAATAATACTTTGAACGTCTCTTCAGAGGAACACGATACTTATCAACACAACAATCAGTATCTGTTTTCAAATTGTCACTTTCTCAGAAACGTAGCGCAGTGGTTCGGCGAAGAAAATCAAGAACTTTATACACCGGCTCGTCCATTTACTTTAGGAGGAGGATTAGCAGTGTTCTTTGAGTCAAATGCCAGCAGCTGCAGCGTAAAAATCCAAGGATGTACATTCAGGAATAATAATGCCTCATGGGGAGGTGGACTTCAAGTCGAATTTACAAATTTCTCAGAAAACAATAGATTGTTGATCGAGAGCACTATTTTTAGCGATAATTTCGCAGCTTCCTCTGGTGGAGGTGCTCGTATCGGAAACCAAGCACGTAAATCAGGTGTTCCACTTACCCCGAATCGTTTTTATTTTATTAACTGCTCGTTCATAAGAAACAGTGCTTTTTGGGGTGGCGGTGCATCAATTTTCGGGACCACTATTGTTAGTGCCACTAAGAACACCGTGGGAAGGAATGCTAATATTCAGTTCCACTTCAGTGATTGTCAATGGCAATGCAATAATGGAAGTGTGGGAGCCGCCATGGCAATCTATCTTTACAATAACAATGAAGATCAACTTGGACCGGAGGTTCCATTTCATGTCCAATTTGATAACGGAACGTTGTTTGAATCTAATGGAGTTCATGTCCATAATCAGACCATCACCGTCGGACAAGGATCCCTGTACAGTTCGCAAGTACCACTCATCTTTAAAAACTTTACAAAGTTCTCGGCCAACCAAAAGTCTGCATTACTAATAGAAGGATCTTTCATTGACGTTCACGATCAATTGGAGTTTATCAACAACACTGGTTTTAGAGGGGGTGCCATAGCCATGTATGGAAGGTCAAGAATTATTTTCTATCCAAAGGCCAATGTAAACTTTGAAGGAAACACTTGTGATGATAAGGGTGGTGCACTTTACATCCAAACCCCAGGACCTCCGCTGGTAAGCTTCCACCAAACTGGTACCAACATTTTCACTTGTTTCTTTGGATATATGAATGAGGAATCTGACGTGGACTATGAGAAATGGGATATAAATGTCACCTTCAAGGAAAACAAGTGCAGTGTTCGCTATTCTAGCCAATGCAAAGGGAAATCCGTCTACGCCGCAACGCTAAAAACCTGCTATCAAGTGGGCGAAAATCGTACAAATAACAGCGTGCTAAAATGGAAGTTTGTAAAATTTGATACCAAGGTATCATCAGAGGTTTCAACGGATCCTGTAGAATTAAAGTTTAATAAAAGCAACTGGAATGTCGCCCCAGGTGAATGGTTCGATGCAGATGTCAAACTATTAGACGAGCTTAATAATACTGTCCAAGGAATTATTCTTGTTACTATCAGTAATGTTTCCCACGGAAAAGTTACTATTTACAATCAGCCTTCCTGTTCGTTTCTAACAGATTATGAAGGAAAAATCAGACGTATTTACCTAAATGGACACGAAGGAAGTAGGTTCTCACTGCATCTAAACTGTGTCGGAAGTCAGCTTCTGCGTTATGTGATAAACAATGTCACGTTACGAAACTGCTATGACGGATTCGTGTTTTCGAATACAACGTGTCTATGTAACTGTATTAAACGATCAGGAAAGGGTGACAGAGGTATTTCGAGATGTGCAAACGGGACGACCGTTTTTATTAAGCGAGGATTCTGGGCTGGATTCGCTGATAAAAACAACAGAACTAAATTTTCAACCTTTATCTGTCCTGAAGGCTATTGTAATAAAACGTTAGTTTGGAATCCCAATGCAACTGACTATAAGTACGTGAATAACAACGTGTGTACGAAAGGAAGAGATCAAAGCAGTGTACTCTGTGGAGAGTGCGATAAAAATTCCGGTGTTGGCATTGGAAATGAACAGTGTTTAGATAATTGCTCTAATTGGTACTTGTTTCTCATAATTCCGTATGGTTTGGGCTTCCTCCTTGTCGTTGCCATCATCATGCTCATCGATCTCGATGTTTTCACGGGATATTTCAATGCCTGGCTTTACTCTTACCAAGTCATGAATCTTTTGGTGCCAGATGACGTCCAATTCCACCCTGTTAGCCAATTTTTGATTAATCTTAGCAACATTCGCATCCAGGTCCCAAACCACAGCTTTTGCTTTGCTGCTAGTATCGACGATTTAGACAAGCTAATGATAATGTACGCCATTCCAGTGTACGTGATACTGGTTGTGATAATATTAGCGAAGCTGATCGGTGCATACCCCCAATGGTGTTTCAGCAGACGGGTCAGAGCCCCTTTCCGTGGTATCTGCACCATCTTTGTACTTTGTTATACAGATATCACCAGTATTTCCCTCAAGATCCTTCGCTATGCTAACATTGGATCAAAAACTGTGGTTTACGCCAAGGGTAGCCTCGATTACTTCAGAGACAAACATCTCGGTTATGGAATAGTTGCCATACTGTTCATATTGCTATTTGTTATACCATTCCCGATGATTCTTTTATTTCGCAAAGGCCTGACTAAAGGTCTTCGTCCTGTCTTGAATATCAACCGCTGGAATCCGTTTTTCGATGCTCTTCAGAACTGTTTCAAAGATCAGTACCGTTGGTGTGCCGCATTCTACTTCATTTGCCGTCTTGTTATTCTGGTTATCTACACGATGATGACTCCGGGTCCAGCCAAAAGGCTTCTATTGGAAGGTGTCTGCATTTTGATTGTTCTAATCTTTGCATTCCTCAAGCCCTACAAGGACGCCTCTGACGTGGAGGAGGAAGAAGAAAATTATGAGTGGATGAACAGATCCGATGTTGTTCTGCTTACTACTCTTGTGTTTATTGCTGTGATCAGTTCCCCTCTTGATTACAGTGGTTCTACTACCAAAAAGGAGATAGAAGTCCTCACGACATTGCTCAACATTCTGTCATTTGTTCCAGTTGTAGTCTTGCTAGTAGTAGGTACTACTTTTGCTTGGAAACACCTATGCCACGGTGAACCTGAAGTCGAATTACCACCGATGACCTCCACAGACAGTAGG